TTTGACTCATAAATATAATGTGAAAAAATGAGTCACGCAACATTTTCCACAAATGCACACGCTAATTCTGAAGTTCACACTCTGTGGTTCACAAATATAATTTGTAAGAACACTTGTAATATAAACTCAGATCATACGAATTGCTGAACGTGCATTCACGGACAGCTTCTCATTTGTGAACCTTCCTGCATTCGTGAGAGAAATCGGTGTGCTGAATTTTGAGACTCTCCTAACGTCGCAGGTCAACAAACGTCACCATTGGCTAATGAACCTGTCAATCAAATATATGCTTCTGCCAGGGCTGTTCGCTTTCAGCCAATGGCTCCTTATGCTACAGAACAGATCTGCTGTGCGCATAAGTCGGACACAATTTCCTGCATGTGTAGCTCGGGGGTGACGATGGATGAAGATATCGCGTTAGCATTCATACTTGTTTAATTTTCCATTTTAATTCTGGTGCCTGTTAGCAGCTGAAACACATCATCACGTGCTTGTGGATATCAAATATCGAATATGAAAACATGACTGTAATAATAAGTAAAGGTTAGCAGCTGTAGCTTCAGTGTGCTCATAGGAAACATGACAAAAGAACACAAACCACATTTCTCTTTATGGCCTATATAATTGTCATCATTAACGTTACATGATTTACAGAATACATGTGACCAACTAACATTTCATGTTCTACCACCGGATGTTTGGATCAAAATATGAACCAATCAGATCTTAGATCAGGTGAGAGCCAGGTGTTTCCCATCATGCCCAAGGTTTTGCAGCCGAGGGAGAACAACTGCAGCGCCTTGCTCCAAAATCTGCGGCCGCCTTGATCTCAAGTGGTTATCGTTGCCTACGTATGCATGACGTCAGAGCAAGTCGGGTCAAGTCGGACACAAATCTAACCGGTTACATTACCAACGCTCCACCATATGGGTGGCCTCTTAATAATCTTATTCAGAAAAATTATGCATTTTTACTAAGTGAAAGCAAACCCGTTAGGGGCAGAGACCTCTTGAAGCTCATATTAAACATTGTCTGCAGAGAAGGTAAGAGAAGCTAGTAAATCATCAGGCCTATTCCATGGGAGTGACTCTGAAAAGGAGCAAAAGCTCCAGCTCTTTATCTTGGCAGGTGTCTCTATTCTCCTGTGTTCAGGCTTTTGGTTACATCAGTTACTTTTCCTTTTAATGAGCTGCATATATTTCTAACACAGCCTTCAGTGACATCAAGAAAAAAAACTTTTTAATTGTAAAAGACATTATTCTCATTCTAAGAACAAATGAACAAACTGTGTGTGGGTATGTGTGTCCAGTTGCAACTTAACCCTAACTCAGAAGCATAGAGAATCTTCTCACAACACCTAATCATCCCTTGATCAAAAAACCAGTAGATAGAATCTTGTCATGTTATTCCATTTAATAAGTAGACGGACGGAGGTATAGTACAAGTTTTCAAGTGTAATGAAGATGATCGCAGGGTAACACAGTTCCCCTTAAATGTTGAGCAAAAGTCATGAAACGAGACAAAATTCAAACAATAACATGTAAAAAGAGATGGATCTCCTGATAAGTAGGTGCTTCACCTTTAAATGTTTTTACTAGAGCTGGATACACAGGAAGATGCATGTTACTAAACCAACACTAGCAATGATAGCACATTTACATTTTGAAGAATTGTAGCATAGATGAAGTGAACAGCAGCCTTTTCAAATACATTCCTGGTCTAAAATAAATCAGGCTGACAAAGACTTTAAGGAAATACACAACTATAAATGAATTTAGACATCTATTTTGGGGTCTATCCTTTAGCATTTCATATTTACAACGGCAAATCCCTTGAATAACAATATACAGTACATTAACCTTAAAATGGACCACTCCTTCACTTTTTAACTTCCTTCCTTCCTGTCTCATTAATTGTTTTCTTTCTTCCTAACTCCCTACCTTCTCTCTCCTTCCTTCTTCACACATGTAATCATCTAGCCTCAAGTAAGTTCTCAACATACTGGACAGTGTGAAGATATGTGTCCACTCCCAAAAGAGTCTGAATGTTGCAACGGATTAATGTTGTCCTGCAGTTCCAACATTTCATGATCTGAAAGAGGACTGTCCAGTACAGGGACATTGATCCCAGGATGAGGTTCAGTCATGTATCCATTCTCCTCCCATTCAATCTCTGGTGTCGGTATACCCTGGAAAAAGAAAGTGTGTATGAGCATTGTGCATAATGAATCTCAAGAAAACACATTTAATAAAGCCCTATCATGACCTTTTAACAATTACTTAACATCAATGATGTCAGGCAGAACCTAGCATCTCCATTATTTCATAAATTATTATTTTTTTAATTAATGGGCTACTTTTATGTTAAAACAGCAGTGAGAATATCACATCTGGAAGGTCTAATGCCTTGCATTTTGAACTTGCAGATGTGTCATGACTTTGTAATGTCATGACATTATAGTTGACAGTGTCCACTTCAGTAGAGGTGCACACAAACAGAACTGTAATTTCAATAGCCATTTTGTCTTGAATCCAAGAAGCATAGAGCAGAGGTAGATTATCAAAGTGTTGAACATTTGATTTTTAGTTAAGGATCAACTTGACATGTGATCAGTCATTTTAACAGAACATACATTTGCCCCTGGATCAGAAACAGGATTCAGAGCCTGGCCCAGATGCCACAGCTGATTTGGTGTCATGTTTTCCTCTGTCCTGATTGGATGGTTGTCCCACGCATCTCTAAAGACATCCAGGCTGGCCTGGATGCGAGACAAGAAAATATAGTGGCAACAAAACATGTGAAGGATGTTACTGATGTCGAGCAAGTCTTGGTCTTCCAGAGAGTGCAGGATGTTGTAATATAAACCAGTAACACTCATGAAGACATCACGCCACAGGCGCTCGATCCTGGATTTGGAGGGGGATTAAATAAAAGAAAATTATAATATACACACAAATTTACATGTCCATACATCCGTTTTCAACTTGAGTTATCTTTTGAATGGTCGCAGGGGGACTGGTGCCTATCTCTAGCAGTCACAGTGTGAGACGAAGGGTGCACCCTGGGCAGGTCAACAGGCACAGGCACGCGCGCACAGACACAAAGCTTCCAAATTAGGTTAAACTCACCGTTGATTGTGTACACTTTTTCCTGCAATGAAGCTGTTGGTGTCAGTTCCACGAACTGAGAACATTAATTCTGCAACACCTACATTTTCTCCGCCATGATCTCCTCTCACCATGAAAAAAAAAAACATTAGAATCTTGCTTCAAACATTTTTAATGCACATCTATAACAATCTACATCAATTTGAGTCTCACAGAAATTTCCTTATGTACCTTGCTACTAAGTGAGTAAACAATGTGGCATTATTAACCCTCTGCTGGGGAAATATTTTTTGAAAGAGGGAAATGTTCACCCCCCCCCCCCCCCCCCATAGATTTTACTATATGACCTCAAATGGCATGTTATCTTTGGTCAATAACACACTTTAGGCAAAAGCAGATTTGTAACAGGGTAACAGAGGGTAAAGTTGGGAATAACATGAATACCTCAGAGGAAAGCCATGCTCATTCACAGCTTCACTGAAGAAGGCAAGGTGGGTGTCTGCCCGGTTGTTGTCAGCTACCTTCAGGTACATGATCTATGTAATTCAAGCACAAACACTCTCATATGACACATTTTTATAAGGGTCAAAACAATCAATTACCAAATGAAAGGTACAACAGCCATACAATAACATGTTAGATAATTAAATAAGTTAAGATCTGTGAAAACCAAAAATAGCAATTATCTTCTATGAAAATATCTCAGTTATTAACGTTCATGCTTTGGAGCTGAAAAAGTGCATGACAATTAAATATTTCAAGCTCAGTTCGCTCCACTCTGATGGTCACCTGTTCCAGCCAGATACCTTCTTTCTAGGCGTTCAAAGTCGGAAACTCGCAGAGTAAACTGGGTGCTTAGAGGAGTATCTTCAGTTGTTTAAGACTGAGGGTAACGCTGCACACGCTGATTCGACTAGCATGGATGCTAATGATGTAAACATAAAAGAGGGCTTGCTTCGTCTCGGGCGCTAACGCCGCAAAGCACTATGGGATTAGTAGTCTTATTAGCAAAATCGCCCGGCGGGCCAGTTTAATATTATATATTTGATATTTGATTTCGCGGGGCAAATAAAAATAGACCAAGGCCTTGAGTTTGACAACCGTGGCCTAAAAAATGGTACCTAGATTTGCTAACTAAACAAATGTTCACTTGAGTTTAGCTTGATGTTAAACTAGATGAAGAATGGACCAGACTTCACGTAACGTCTGGACTGAATTTAACATAAAACATTTTACTTGATCATGAAGAACGCTTCTACTCATAATTCTATAACATTGCATCAATTACAACGAGGGAATAAGATAAAACTATTACTCACAGATCGTGACCGGTCCATCCTGCTCTGCCGTGTGAACTGCAATGCGCATGCGCACAGCAGATCTGTTCTGTGACATAAGGAGCCATATGATTGGCTGAAAGCGAACAGCCCTGGCAGAAGCATATATTTGATTGACAGGTTCATTAGCCAATGGTGACGTTTGTTGACCTGCGACGTTAGGAGAGTCTCAAAATTCAGCACACCGATTTCTCTCACGAATGCAGGAAGGTTCACAAATGAGAAGCTGTCTGTGAATGCACATTCAGCAGTTCGCATGATCTGAGTTTATATTACAAGTGTTCTTACAAATTATATTTGTGAACCACAGAGTGTGAACTTCAGAATTAGCGTGCGCATTTTTGGAAAATGTTGCGTGACTTATTTTTTCACATTATATTTATGAGTCAAAGAGTGTGAATTTCCGAATGAGCGTGTGCATTTGTGTTCCTCCGAATTATATTTGTGAAACACAGAATGTGGATTTCCGAATGAACGTGTGCATTTGTGGAAAACGTTGTGTGACTTAATTCTTATTGAGACTGTTCTGGCCTCATAAATTTAGAAGCGTTTCACAACCATCTCCTTTGCAAGCAAAAGATTCAGTTACATCCCACCTGTTTACGAGGCACGGATACTGCTTGCTGCATTGGTGTCATGTTGTGGTGAAGATATCTAACCCACGACATACAGAATCAGATCAGAGACGGGGTGAAATGTTTAAACAAGGATTTATTAAAGGAAAACCAAGGAAGCAGCATAAACGTAGCTGAGTTCTTGCACAAGGACGCTGGTGCGGGAAATCTGTGGACAGATCGGAGTTAGATCCAATATGAGGAGGGAATAAGGAACCGGACTAGTGCGGAGGACTTACGGTCTGGAGAGGAGGGAACTAGTTTGAGGGGGGAGTGGTCCGGTCTGGGTTGAGAGGCTTTGCAGGGACTGAGATCCAAGAAGTGAGACGTGGAGGGAGCTGAGCTTGTGGAGGTCCAGGAAGTTTAGGTGGGCAGCTGGAGGTGGTTCTGGCCAGGGGAGAGGCTGAGAGACGAGCAGGGGTTGGAGTTCAAGGTGGTTTGGGCTCCAGAGTTCTGCCAGTCTAAGATGAGTGTGAAGGTTTGTCTGGAGACAAGAGCAGGAGGTCAAAAGGCAAAAATCCAATATCCAAAACTCATTTAATTCTTAAAATCCAAATTCCAAAAACACATCTAATTCTCAAAAGGTTAAAGAGCTCGAATAAGACATACAAGTGGCTGTTAGAAGGTACCCAGGTAGAGTAATCATCCAGCGAAGTGTAGAAGTCTCTCAGCTGCTTAAGTACCCTTGGCCAGCTGATGAGCAGATCTGCTGCAGCTTGGTCAACCTCCAGACACGCCCACCTGCAGAGGGAAAACTCAAAGACAGGGAGTGACAGCAGGAATACACCTCAGACCGTGACAATTGGACTACAATCACCACTCACATCGAGAAGTGAAGAGGAGAGCAGATGGATCGATACAGTATGTATGTATTTATTTATATTTTAAATGAAACATACACTCATGAATTCATAATTCACTGGCCCAGTTTTAGTCATTTTTTATTAACAACTTCCTCAGATGAACAACCACAACGCTCCTAACTGCGCTGTACAGTGTCCAGCTCAGATGTTCAGATGGGAATCTTTTTTTGAGTGATTTAGCTACATCTGCGATGTGCGTAGAATAAAATGTCAGTTCGTCTGCATGCGTCGGGGTAATTCTTTCTATTCTTTCTCCGTCAAAATAAACGGTCAAATACGGGAACTGTCCGGTCAACACAAGCCCTGCTTTTAACTGTTCTGTTTTCTTGTGAAAATTGTTGCAAATAGATATAATTAAACTTGATTAACACCAGAGCCAGGCGCACTGCGCCGTTATCTCCGTCACTGTAAATGAGGGAAAAACAAAATGATCGGATCCTTTTCTGACCTTCCCCACCTACAAAGTTTAATTACAACAATCAAACGTGACAGAGCCGGGATTTGTATTCTGAACAGTCTAAACATGTTTTAAAAAGAAACGTATGACAAAAGTGGCACCTGCTCAGTAAAACCACCAACAGGGTGAAAAATATCTAAATATTGTCGGCAGAGACGGGCTACAACTTCTGGATCCACTTTATATAAATCGTTTTATTGATGATCTTCTTATGAAAGATAACTTTGACGTACACGAGCGACGGGTACCGGCTGATGTCACCTGTTGTGAGCAGCGCTCTGCTGTCTGAGGGTAGGCCCCGCCCACAACGCCATGGCTGCTGTGGCTCCCAGTGTTTTCTTTAATGTGGGAAATGGGTAATAATGGCTCTTTGATGGGAACAGGTTGCTGACCCCTGTTTTAAGTGTTTCAAAATTTTTTTATGAATTCGATTAAAAATAAAGGAGCCCGGCCCGTGTCCGAGGTAATTACACAGTCATTGGCCCGAAGCCCGGCCCAACAGCCCTTGGGCAGGGCCAACCCGAGGGCCTTGGGCTTCAGTGCAGGGCTCTACTACAAGTTATGGCATGTGTCATTTCAGATACCATAAAATATTCAACAAAAAATCAAGATGCTGGAGGCTGTATTCTGAGAAGGTGGTAAAAGACTACTCCTACATCCCAGAGATCCAAACCATGATCGTCAGCCAACGTTTGACAAGCAAGAAAGGTCTTCCTCGACGCTACAAGCTAAGGCCTGAGGATCCAAGGAGTTACGGTTTGCTGTCCGGAGTCCCTGCACCATCAACAGAGGAACTTCTACAACACCTAAGGACTTGAGGTGATGGTATAATAAAACATTATCTGTCTTACATCTTCCACACAATAGTCCATTGCTAACTAAGTTTATTTTTTATTTACAGGTAAAACTTTGCCACAGACATAGGTGTTGGGGGAGGCAAGAGAAAACCCAAAACCTTCTTTATTTTTGTTTCCTGTGTTTTTTTTTTGTTTGAAAATAAAGATATACTTTGGGGAAATGAGGACTAATAATTTATAAATGTATGTAAAATGCTGGAGGTAGACATAAGTTCTTGTTGTTGTGCAGGAGTTTAACATTTATGGTATTTTTACAAATGCAACACAGAGTTGTGCTTTAGAACACTTTATTAGAGCATCAAACAAAAATATATAAAAACAAACTGATGTAAAATATTAAATATATAAATTTATTTACAATCATCTTGGAATAAAACCAGTGTAGTTACCATTGGGGTCAGGGAATTTTCCCCTTATCCTCCAGACAACGCAGCTTGGGATTACTACTCTGCGCCCTCCACCAAGTTTTCCATGCTGCCATGCTACAAATTGTCTGTAAGCTGCATGGCGGAACTGTCTGTTGTCCTCACCAGGGTCCGGGTCATCATAAACTACTCGAAACTCATTCCACAATGTTCTGGCCAGGCGAAGAACACCATTTTGCAAAATAAACTCCTCCATGTGTGGTACAGTTGAAATACATGTCTGGGGAGGCTGTTGGCAGCATTTCTTTTCCAAATCAGTTGGCATCTCTCTGCAGTGGGAGCATACACACCATGAAGGTTGATTGGATGTTGGAGGTGTTGTGGCAGGTGGACCAGAGAGGGCAAGTACATCAAAGAGAACACCAGGGTCTCTGTCCAGCACTATGGTAAGGATGTCAATAGCCTGCTGAGGGTTCAGGTTCTGTATGTGTTGCTACAAAAGTGGAAAGAGATGCTACAGCAACAGTTTTTAGGATAATTTAGTGTAATTTTGTTATGCTTACACGTTCAAAGTCTATTCGCTCTCTTCGAGACATCTTCATCTCCAAGGTCCACAGCTGAGTGTCTCGCACTTCTTCGGCCTCTGGATGCACCACGGCCTCTGGATTCACCACGGCTTTGAGATGATTGTGGGCATCTCCTTTTTGCACCACGTCTTGAGGATGCAATGGGAGGTTCAAACTCTTCCTCAGAGGATTCCTCAATCACTGAACTCTAAATTGTATTAGAATAAAAAAATATACTATTATAAAAAGTACTCTTGCATATTAATCAATTTTGACACAGATCAGGTTTACATCTAGTCAAAATTAGGGCTAAACCAACAATAAACAGAAACCCTATGAAAACAACCATGATTATAGGAGGACTACACAGAATGCAGTGTTTATTCATGATTTCCACATAAATTATATGCTTTGATATATTCATCCCATCTTGAATGGCAAAGCAATTAAAAATAAGCTAATTACTCGTAATAAAATGCTAACAATTTGATAGGATTAATTTTATTTACAATATAGATTGTCAACTGTTACTGGTATTTTAAAATATGTATATATTTAAAGATATTCTTTATAAAATGCCTTTTGTAAACAGTAAGTGTTTAATGTGCTGGTTAAAAACAACTTTCTTACCTCAGATAACTCCATTGCTAACACTAGCTCAGCTCTATTATGAAGAAGCAATGCTCTGGTGTTGACTCGGCTTTTCCTGCGCGTGCACATTAGGAGGTGTGGCTTTCAGCTCTTTCAGGAAGGGCGGGGGAGTGAGCAACAGGCGTTCGAATTAAAAAATCTCCTCCTCCTCACCCTGACGGTGTCATCTTACGGACCATGCCTTTAAGGTGCTGTGATCAACAGTGTCAAAAGCTGCAGAAAGATCTAACAATACTAACACTGTGAACTCCCCGTTCTCTGCAGCCATCATGATGTCACTGGAAACTTTTAGCAAAACTGTTTCTGTTGAACGCTTTTTACGAAAACCAGAATGGAATTCATCAAAACTGTTGTGTAGTTCAAGAAAAGTAATCAGTAGATCTGCCACAACCTTTTCCAATATTTTAGAGATAAAGGGTCATTTAGAAATGGGTCTGTAGTTTTTAGGCTGAGATGAGTCCAAACTTGTTTTTTAAGGACAGGTTCAATAACTGCATGTTTGAAAACAGATGGTACAGAGCAGGGGCGGTTCTAGACCAAATTTTCCAGGGGGGCCACAGTGGGGCCAGTATTTTTTCATGGGGGCACAAGAAAAAAAATCATAATAAAAGACAATGAACAAGTAAACTATTACGGCAAATGCAGTAATGGTTTACTTGTGAAAGTAAAACTGGCATGTTTTTATGGTACTCAGATAACAATTCTGAATGCTTCACAGTAACATGAGACTTGAGTAAAACAACAATTCTAGTCAATTATTATAGTTTGTGACTTTATTAGATTATATGAACTGTACATATGAAAAATAAACATTGAAACAAATAAAATATCTGCACATGAACTGTACATATGAAAAATAACCATTCAAACAAATAAAATATCTGCACAATACAATTTGCTTTTTGTAGTCAACACACACACACACACACACACACACACACACACACACACACACACACACACACACCTATACGGGTTTTGCTGTATTAGAGGGACATTTTTTTCAAACCAACTTTTTGCAACATT